TTCTTCCATCAATAACTTTCTTTAAAAGGCCGAGTTTATTGATCTTGAACATTTAATCAATTGCCAGCCATTTAAGCTCTTGAACATTGTCAAACGATCGTGCATCCCAAGAACTGTCCAAAATTAATCGCGCGCAGCGTTTTAGAAGTTGAAACAATTCTTTTTAAGGTTGGTTTGGCTACAGTTGCCCCAAACAGTACAGCAGTAAGTTAAGGACGCTTTGATACTTGCAATGTAGAGAAGCAATCGATAATTGGTGGGTAGATATTTCCGAGCTCTTGCTAAAATTGTAATTCTTTGAAGCACTTACCGGCGCAGGGTGTCAATGTGTTCGTTCGTTCCAGGTGAGATGACTGTCAATGTGTACTCCTAAGACAGGCTCTGGCTCAACCTTAGTAAGTTGCATGCCCTCAACAGAAAGGTTAAGTTTGTTTTGCTGAATTTACAATTTTCTGTCTGGTCGAGATTATACTGTACTTTGTCTTTGCTGGATGCATTTTCACTTTATTTTTCTTTGACCAATTCGATGCTGTGTCAATGTCAGGTCGAATTCTGTTCTCTACTCAGTTCAGCTAAGGTAGGTGCAGATGCATAAAGGGTTGAGTCATCGGCGTAAATGCCAATGCCAATGGAATTTGTGTTTGGAATTTGTAGGGAGGAACGAAATACGAGCTCCCCTGAAAAAAGCCCCCGTGGGAGGCTAAATTAGTAAGAGCACTGCAGCGCTAACGCAGAGGCCATGGGTTCGAATCCCGTTGAAGTCCAGAATTTTTTTCAGGTTAATTTGCAATTGCTTAAATTGCTGATTACCACTGTAAACATCTATCTTCATTTGAATTTGTATTTCCGCAGTTCACGTCAATTCCCTTAAATCTAACAATTTTGCAAACATTTAAAATTTGAAATTACGGAGTTAACCTTACTAATAAAGATATACAGCAAAATGCTAGAAAATATTCATCCCATACTGTCTTCGAGCAATCATTTTTACGAATTCTTTATCATGTTCTTCCAACTGGCATTTGTTCAGGTCAACTCATCAGCTGTATTCGCAGGCTAGCTGAGCGGAGGGTTCCTCCACTTGCTACCTGCTGGGGAGGCTATGAAGACTCATACATTGGGAGCAGGCCAATTTTTTGTGTTCATCTTAACACGTGAATGAAATGAAACACGGAGTGAAGATGATGATTGCTTAAATTGCTGATTACCACTGCGACGATCATATCTTCATTTGAGAAATTGTTTTTCCGCAGTTCAGATCATCTTCATTCCATGTTTGATGAAAATATTTTTGGTTCATTCTTGCTGTGTCAAAATCATCCCAGCTGAAGGGTCCTGATGGAATTAGGAGGATCTTTCACTCCTTACTCTCATCCATCAAACCGTTGCCTTCTAGGTTCCCTTACCATCATGTTGTAACCTTGTCCACCGTATTTACTTTTATTTTTGATCTGCATAAAACAAAGGAAATGAACTCAACCAAAGCCGTTTGTTCTCCATTCCGAAACGTTTTGGTTAATGAAATTAACGTTGGATAGGATAGAAACTGTTCTGCAAGACCAAGAACTGCTGGATATTTTTCCTGTTCCGTTCTGTTTTGTTCTAAAAGAAAAGGCAATCACAAATCTTTATCGTACTAAACACGACACAGTTTGGTATACAGCATATGCATTGGACAATTAGTCATCAATTTTATAGAGGGGCTATTCAGATTCACAAGCAATAAATGAAGGTAGTTTTGTCCGTTATGTTGCAATATTTTTTTATTATTATCGTATCTTTACACAGATAAATATATAAATAGGCCTACCATATACAGCGTGATCGAATCTATTTCTTTACAACATGTTTGACAGAGGCGAAGTTTTTCAAGCACATTTACATGTTTTTGTCAATCTCACATGTCTCTCTTTGTTAGTGCCGGGATTTAATATCGCGGTTTCAATCCTCCCCGGCTTACATTTTGGAAATCCATACAATGGTATGTTTTCCAGGCAGTTGCTGTGAAATGAAATTGGTCTGCATTCAACTTCAAATAAATTGTACTTTGGGCAATACCAGTATTTTTTTACACATGGATGAATACTTGGTGAGGAATCTGATGACAAAGCTGTTCTTCCAGGGCAGATCATTTCCAAGGTTAGTACATTCACTTGTCTTTTTCCTCGGCTGAGTCCTGTTTCATTTAATGCTTTGTTTGGCTCTAGTTGTCCATAGGTGTCCCCCTGCTCAGAGGTGTCACCTGTGTCTTGTGAGGTATGAGGTTTACCCCAGGTTTGGGTTTGGACAAGGAAGCCAACCAAAACGACAAAAAACGACTGTAAAGAGTGAAAGGAGCGTATCATCATCTTAGAACGGCGAGCAGAGCAACAAACATGAAACACTTCAAGCTGGGGCAATTCTAGCCTCCCAAGCAGGCGTTTTTAGGGGAGCTCCCTCTGTGGGGAGGGAAGAAATACGAGCTCCCCTAAAAACGCCTGCGTGGGAGGCTAGGGCAATTCGCAACTATTTATTTTTATATTTTACATTTTTGTTTACGCACCTAATTGCAAGCAAACGTTGTCATAGAAAAATAAAAAAGTTTGTTGATTATAGCTTACTCTAATAGGCACTAGCAAGTGAATCGCTGAATGCGTACCCTGCGAGCAGTGGTTTCTCCAGGCCCGACGCTACGCCACGAAGGGAGAGAAACCACTGTGAGCGCCCGTTTGCCTCTTTAATCGATCCGCCGTCCAGCGCCATGGACGAATAAATTATTTTTGATCAGGTAAAACCTGTTAAAAGCAAGTTCAGGCTTTTGCACTTTTTCTTACGCTTATAACTGCTACCTTAACGCCAGCCTTTTGTGAATTTAGCTTCTTTCAATGTTTATCGCGATTATTCCTACCCACTTCATAAAGGCCCACCCAACTGGAGGTGAATTCCTAATAGCCCCCACGCAGACGCTCTTAGGGTTTCTTCACGCGTGACAAACCCCTAAGAACGTCTGCGTGGGAGGCTAAATTCCTAAGGACCATATCCAAATTTAGAAAGAGAAATTTTATTTCGTCGTTGCATGTTTTTGTTCACCATAAAACGCGAAATTGGATAGTTTCACGAAATGTACAAAAAAGCGTGCCGCACGTGTAAAATTGTGGATTTGCTTATTAAACCTATTGCCTCTTTGTCGTTCTCATTGTCGTCCCGTCGTTGATTCAGTCCTGCGAAACAAGAGGAAGTGATGTCATCTGATGTTTTGACGTTGGCGTCACGAGGATACGCATACTCGATAGAAGGCAAACGGTTCGGCCCGGCATGAAAAACACAGTGCTCGCAGAGTAGGAATGCGTGACAGACCGCTCTTAACTGTAGGTCCCTTGTTTTCAAAGTTTCAGAGTTAAAAAAAATAATAAAGTACAAGACAATCCTAACCATATAGGCTTTTCAGGACTAAAAACAATGTTAAATTCACGGTGTTCAAGTAATTCATTTTATTATGTAATATTATCATATTAACAGCTTGATGGAGCACAAGCAAAACACTGTATTTTGCCACCCCGGTTTTCCCCCCAAAAAAACGAATTTTGAAAAATTTGAACGAAAAGCAAAGAGGAAATTTTACTAAGAACTTGACAAACGAAAAAGCTCATTGCGCCAGTAAACTCTTAATGTGAGTAATACAATCAAAACAAAGGATATTACAAAAAGACAACGCTTCAGAGCCAGCACTGATCAGTACTAAGGAAATACTGCAATGAATAATGCAAAAAGCCGTTTTTAATATTTAATTCATGTACAAATTTTCCTCAGTTAACCTTGCTATTAACACTGAGAAACGCTTCCTTTAAATTACCTTTGATGTCAGTTTGCGAAATGTTTGAGGCGATAATTGGCCACGTTTCAAACATTTTGCAAATGTAAGCTTAATGTTCACCAGAGCTTCCATTTTTCCAAAAAAACAATAAGTAAACCCTAACGATTTATACAAACGCTGGTTCACATGAAAATCTCCTACCTTCAAATTCATACTTTTATTCCTCTCTGTTCTGCCTGAATACCCCTGATGTTGCTTTTCAATGAAGGCTTTCTTCAAACTCTGTCTGGATCTTGTGTAGTTTTTACTTAACTCTAGGAACTTTCTGCTGCTCTTTTTATACCAGTCGACTGATAGCTTTTTTTCTATTTTTGTCTTCACAATTATTTCTTATTTTTGGTCCTTGAGGAGTCAGGAACCTTTCAGTGGAGCCGGGGAATTTCATTTGATTCGTCTTAGATGAACCTTATTCATAAGACATGTTCCGTTTAATACACACCCTAATACTGTTGCCTTAATCTCTCGTATTCGCACACACTGCGTTGTGATTAGGGGTGGAATTAATTCACTCCCTGAGAGAGCAAAAGACTAAGGACTGGAAAAACAGACCGGCAGCCAGTATTTAACTGAGTTAATAAGCGAATTAATTCCTGTTTTATTTTGATAATAAAATAAATCAATGTTTACGAAATCCTTATTTTCGAAACACCCTGAGAAGATTTGCCTACCAAAGTGTTTGGTTAAAAAAAAATTTTTTTCAAAAAAAATTTACTCAAATTAAAGTCAGAATTATTTAAAGAAAAAAATTTAAAAAAGAAAGTTGAAAAGAAAAACATGCTTGCTGGTGTTAGACAAAATGGACATCATATTTACATCCCCTCGCTCCCACCTAACCCCTACCCCACAGTACATATTTTGCACGAGGCCTGCTCTGTAACGCAATCACAGGGTTGAGAAATCAACGGTGTTTGCAAGAACGCCTCAATGTTTCTAGCGTACTTAAGGTTTTTCTTACAAATTTTTTCAGTGATAAATTGAAGACTTAAGGTGCAAAAATGAATATAATCAAAGAAATAAATCACCGAATGAGTTAAAGAAATATTTCAGTTTATTTTGGTAATGATTCACTTCTGAGTCTTTTTCAGGGGAACGAGGAAGTCGCCGCTGAAGACACGCCTTCAGTAAAATACTAAGACAAAATAATTAATGTGCTTCAAGAAAAGGAAAAACGAAATACATGTATATGGATATTTCTGAAAATTAGCAAGTGGATCATGGAAAAGACCGTTTCATGTTACGGTTGGGTTACTTCGAAATTTGAAATGACCCTTGTAGGGTGGATAAAGTATGAATAATGAAGCCGATGTCTGGTATTTCACCGAACCTGCATTTCCATAAGCAGCATAGTTTAACACTTTAAAAAAGACTTAATAAAAGTGAAGTAAACAAAATACTGATCCCACCAATTATAGACCATTATGTCATGGTTATGTGCGAAAATGGTACCATTTGTATCATTTTATTTAACAGTACGAGATAATTCTGTTCTCGCTTTGTCATGTTTTAATTACATGAACACTAATAATCATTTGGAGCTTCCTGAAACCTTCGGTTAACAAATTTTGAAGTTTGTTTTACAGAAATATTGTTTTATGTATCATTGAAGCAAACAGTAATCCTGCGTGCAAACTAAATCTATTTTAAAAAAAGCATGACGATGTCTATAAAACGCTATCTATCCTACAGTCTGCTTAACCTAAAGATGTAAGCTCACAGCAAAAACGCTCCAAAGTAAGTGTGCAAACTGTACATGTAAACTTTGGCACCCGACGAGGGGTACCGGGCTGCATCTAACGTTATGACGTCACCAGCCTGCAAGCTGTAAACGGCGCCCGCATACATGGCACCTGTCATTTGCCCGCCTCCTATTGGCGGTGTAACCATTGTTATGACTACGTTATTCACACGAACAAGCACTCTTCCATTGTTGTGGTAATAGATCTGTGCGTAGATGTAGTACCTTCCAGAGGAGGGAACGGTCAGTTTTCCATCTTTGTACTTCATGCCGCCAGCAAGATGGCTTATCGGGGAATTAACATTCCAGTCTTTGATAACTGAAGAGGAAAAAGTTATTCGACGTCTTGTTAGGCCCGGTTCAGACGCCAAACTTTTCATGAGCCGAACCTCATGCGTCAAGTTAGGTACATGAAAAGTTCGACGTCTGAATCAATTAGGAACGCCTATTTCAATTTGGAACGGCTCAGCCGTTCTTCCCGCCTAGCCCTCCCGGGAATTTCGACTTTGGATCGGTCGTGACCTAATGCATAAATTAGTTGAGCCAGTCTAAGTAATTTCGGTCGGCCTCAATTCGAATTAGGTTCGGCTCATGAAAAGATCGTCTTCTGAACCAGGCCTAATTCACTCATTGCAAAAAAATAACCTTTCCTTTAAATAGAGTATTCCTGTCCCCCCATATTTTACCTGATGTGATTCGACTGCTCAAACGTAGGGGTGACGAATGGTAAAATCCGAGCCTTGCCGAGACGCCGAGACCCTAGTTTAAAAATCCGAGCCCGAGCCTTGAATTTGTTTGTAAAATCCGAGCCCGAGTCTTAGCGCTAAAAAAATCCGAGCCTGAGACGCAGTGATCCAAAAATCCGAGCCCGAGATGCACTTGATCCGAAAATACGAGATACAGCGCTCTGAGCTTTTGTGGGCATCACAACAAATATTTTTCCACTCATCCCAAAACATTGGTTTTGTATTAAAACCATTAACTTATAGCTACTTATCTAGTCTACTTAGTCTACCAGTCAGAGACATAAAATTAAACGTATTATAAAGTAACGCGTTACTGCTTATAGTCTACTTATTAACCTGGTTAGTTACTTTATAAGCTAGTTAAACTAATGATTCGACATTCTGCCTGGTTTAAAATTCACACGCCTTCTGATAGCTTCTGATCTGTCGGCTTCTGGCACGCGTAAATCTGCGGACGATCGGCTTTCGACTAGCTACTACTGCAAATGGCAGAGAGTGAAGAGGAAATAGAAGAGGGTTTTGAAGCAACGAAAGGAATTAAACGCAAATACGGTAAGTTATAAGATCGTCTTGCTTAGAGCTTAAAGTGCATTACTATTTGCTACTATTAGCTACTATTACCGCAATAATTTCAGTGTAGGTCTTTAAATCATTCGGGCCAAGAACAGTTCAATTCTCAAACGATTGTCGTTGGGTACCCATGTACTATCATGACATGATTTCCTCTATAAAGTAAGTGGAAATTACTGTTTCCTATATCTTACATAACAATTGTAAATGCAGATTCCGGCAGGGGTAAATTTCTTAATTTCTCGTTTCGGATAAGCTTGCGGGTAAAAAATTGAACGTCCCATTGGCGAGATTTCGAGATCCAAATTTTCAAAATCCGAGACTCCGAGATCCAAATTTTCAAAATCCGAGAATCCGAGACCGTCATATTTCTGGGAAATCCGAGATTCCGAGACGCTTTTTTTAAGCGCCGAGATTACGAGACTCGGCTTAAATTTGCCGAGACTCAACATTTTTGAAAGGCCATTCGTCACCCCTAAACGTCTAATCTTCAAAATAGTTTGCCTAGCATCGACTCGAAAGCGGTTTCAACGTTTTATTTGTTCGCTTGTAAGAAGTCGGATTTTTTCGAGGCCTATAATTGTATTTTCCAAATCAAATGTGCGAGAGAAACAAGATATATATGTCTACTTGTTTACCTTTTACAGTAATGACGAAATTTGTTTTCGGATTAATTCTTATCGAGCGCGAGAACCAACAAAAATAAAGGAATTCCATACTACTATTAAAAGTTCATTTCTGTTTCGATTGTTTTCAACTGGTGGAAAATATTTTCAAGCTCCCTCTTCTATTTTCTCTCTTCTCTTCTCAAATTCTGACAGCTTTGTCAAAATAACTTGTTAGAAGTGAGTCTGCATTACCTACACCCACTGAATAGGTAATTTCCCCGCTGTTAACAGCCTCAATGTGTGCTGATGGCTTATTTGGATTCTAAAACAGAGAAACAAAAACGTTTATATGTATTGTTGCTACCTGTCATATATGATCCATACTGACAACATTTACCGTTAGGAACTTTTAACTGCGATGACCTTCATCTTATATATCTTTTCCTCTTTTAAACTTGTGAGTGATGGCCGTTTTCTGTTAAAAGACACTTTTCAATCTAATTTCCTCTTTATATAGTCTAGTTTGTAATAATCGTCCCTAAAGCAATTATGCCATAAGGCAAGACACATGAGTACAGTTTTAATTCGTCCTCGCTCCACCGTCTAAACGCCCTGGTGGAACAGGCTCTTACCGCTGGTTACGTGGCACCGTTGAAGCTAAGGTGTGATCGGCCGGGCTGTTTGATTAACAATAATCGTAACTATATGAGAAGAAATTTAAACAAATTTGTCAAAAAACTTACACAATACTTTGATAATAGCATTACCTGCAAAGTACATTTGCAAGCCGCTCCGTCTTCGCCTTTAGCTCCTGTGTCTCCCTTTGTACCTTTATCACCCTAAGATAAGATGTTATTGTCAGATATGGATCTAATTATGATAATCTCAACTGTGCTAGATACGAGAAATGGTCCGGGATGGTTAAACGTCTACCGTAAATGACCTAATTGACGTTTGCTCTCAAATATAAGCGCCTCTTGTCTAATAAACGCCGCAACTACGAAGTTGAATTTGTATTAGATGCCCCTGTCTAAAAGACGCCCCCATGATAATTACTCTAAATGACTAAAAATTTAGCAAAAAAGAGCAAAATAATTCAGTTTATCCAGTTTCTTGCTTGCTTAACAAGGGTTTGTTTGAAAAGAGGGATATGACGTATCAATTGATATTCCGCCATATATAAACTCTCTTGAATCTCTCGCGGGAGAGTGTCCAATTGTCGCGGGTCCAAAAAAATTGTCGCGGGTTCAAAAATAAACATTATTCTAACTTTTAACATACTTTCAACATTATTCTAAATTTTATCGTCGTTCATTCCTATCTTTTTTGTAGACTAATTACATAGGTCAACAGAATTACAAATTTGCAATCGATTATCTCTGAAAGCTGCCACTGTGTCATCAGTAAATGAACTGTCAGCTCTGATTCTGTCTGATGGTTTTAAATTGGTCCAATGTGGTAAATTATTTATGCATTGTTTTCGTGGACAAAAATAAAACATCGTTTATGTGACGAAGTTCTGTTCATAGGGGACATAAAGCCCTTTAACGGTGACGGTAGTCTTCTCGACGTTTGACCGACCTTAGCATTGTGCCGATCATACGGATTGGGGCTTACATGTGCATCTTGGTCTTGGAAAGCGCAGCAGATATATGGTTTGCGCCGCAGAGATCTTCTCTGATGCGGTCCTATCGGAGCTGTCTAGCTCTACTGATCTGTTCTCTTGTAGCTTTGTCTTTCCATCTTTCTTTTCCTTCCATAAAACTTCGTTAAAACAGTCCCAAAAGAGTTCAACGTTGCAAGCGTCCTCTGTTTCGCATTCCATTGTTACGAGTGCTACTAGCTTTCGTATAATGGGGTGGTATACACTTGCGATAAGGGATACAAAGGCGTTGCATCTTTTAACTTTCCCGTCAAAAAAAACAGAATTCCTTGCTTAATTAAAATGTGATCTTTTGTCTCGTCCATATTCAGAGCGAATAATTCCGTTAGTTTAATGGTTTTGAAAACGAATGAGAGCCTCCCTGGGTTGCCGCGTCTGTCGTTAAGGGCACAAAATTCCAACGCAGCAGAACTTTTTAGTCGGCGATCTCGACACTGACACGTGTCAATAAAATCTGACCTTTGTGTGATCTTGTGTAACCTAGTGTAGCAAAAGTACTTGTGGAGGGGTAGGGGAGAACGGGGCGCACGGAAAATAGTTTTAAATGACTAAGTATTTAAAGGACTGGATAAAAAATTGGTATTGTAAGCCTTAGCAAGCTAAAACTAGAGTGCGTTCTCAGCTATACGTGTTATTTTGAATAACTCGTTTTTCTAACCCGCCCTTATTTTTTCTGGACCTGCGACTCCTCTCCAGAAAAGGCTGCTTTGATCCGAAGCGGTAACAAGTTTCTGCTGGGTTTCCGTCCACGTTTCCGCTCACGTAACATGGTTGTATTCGGGAGAAAGTGGTAAGTTCTCCCAAAAGCTTTGTTTTAAAAAAAATCATTTCTGACCCGCGACATTTTATCCGCGACTCGCAACACGCGACCTGCGGCGTTTAGATTCTCTCTCACGGAAAGCATATTAGTTTTGTTTAGCTTGTTATTACATCATTTACGGCATTTAGGTTTAAGATGGTCATGCACGTGTAGGCAATGATGCCAAAATTATGATTGCAATTTTTTTTTTGAAATATACAATTTATTTTTTACAGGACTTTCCTATTTCTGGGTGCATTTTCTCTTTTTGTTTGCATCATCATCATCAAGTTCTATCTACTAGTAGTAGGTCAGCTATCATGGATCTCCAGCTATCCAATCTTCCGCTCTCCTTACACAGGACTTACTGCTTCAATTGAATGGTTTCAAAGGTCCTGATATTGCAGTTATGCTTTACGTTAAATTTACAACTTGACAGAATGGTTATGGAGATGTCCCGTCAATTTCCAAGGACTAGTTACCGTAGATTAGAAGGTGTGAACTTCGCAGAAGAGGCATACTCGCTGTATGAGGGAATCTCTTAGAAGAGTGGATCCGGTTGGAGTTGTTCAGAAATGGGGAGCCCTGTGCCAGAGGCGGAAATACACCTGCGCGGTCAAAGGTGTCGATGAATGAATCGTAGATACACTGCTATCTTGGTGTCCGCTTAAGGACGACAAGCTTCCAGAAGGTAATGGAGAGGAAGAACGGCCAAGTCTCGACACCGCTAGTAATGGTGTACCAGCTCACTGCCGCAAAACTCATTACGTTTCTTCCACAGTGTGCTGTGTGTTACGCCGCAAAATGTAACAATTGACGCGAAATGTAACAACTTTTGACGCGAAATGTAACATTAACCCGAAATGTAACAACTTTAGACGCAAAATGTAACAACTTTTTAACGCGAAATGTAACATCTTTTTTACGCAAAATAAAATAGTATTTTTAGCGCGAAAAGTAACAAGCAAAATGTTACAGCCTTCAAATAACTGAGAGACTTGGACATGAGCCTTGTAGGTAAAGTGTAAATTGCCTGGTGGTTACAAAAACAGTTTATTTATTAAGTTTTCTTACAATGTCAAATAAACTTACAAAAGGTCGTAAAACAGGTGATACAGTTACCAGTCATGTATAACCTTGGAAAAGCAGTATGGACAATAACAACAAAGCTAACTTATTAAACGTAACGTATGGGAAATATCCCAATCTATGCGAAAAGAATATGACTAGAAATGTGAACAATAACACCCTAAGAAACACGCACCAATCAGCAATTGAAATGCAAGTTAAAAGTAAAAGTTCAGAAAGGAAATCTTTCAAAAGAAAATTTTGAACATAGTCAATAAGATAGATATGAATTTCTCATCATTTACCGGACTTCCAGTAAATGTGAGAAATTTCATACCAACCCAGTCCTCGATTTAACACTGTTGATCATCTCACGCAGTCGGATGACTGCTCCGCTCCACTTTCCTTTTAGGGAAAAGGGGAGGAGGTGCGTAAAAAAAGACAGCCTCGGATGAAAACAGCAAGCGTCTTCACTCGACGAAAGTGTGAAAAGAATGATCAGTAATCGATACTTGCCTCGATTTCATACGGGCTTAACTCCTTAGAGGGAGTATACTAAAAATATACCATCCTAACCCATCTAATACGTCCCGGATGTTGTAACGCCAACTTTCTTTTCAGCGTCACACATATGTACAGAAAGATATATTAAACAACAATTCGTTCGACTGTTTCAGGATTTAGTTACTATTATCGAAAAACGTTTTGTAAGTTTATTTGACATTATAAGAAAACTATAAATAAACTGTTTTTGTAAACACCAGACAATTGACACTTTATCTACAAGGCTCATGTCCAAGTCTTCTCAGTTATTTCAAGGCTGTAACATTTTGCTTGTTACATTTCGCGTCAAAAGTTGTTTCATTTCGCGTTAATGTTACATTTTGCGTCAATTGTTACATTTTACGGCGTAACACTGCGCCATTTTTTCTTATGGCAGAGCAGGAAATACAATTCCCATGATCCCTTAGAAGACGGCAGCAGTCTCGCGCGAGATTAAATGATGCGATCACCCGAATGTGAAGTCTACCCGAATAAGAAGTCTACCCCTAAAAAAGTTTATCCAAATAAAGGTCCACCCGAACGAAAAAGTCTGCCTAAATGAAAAGTTGACCAAAATTAAAAACTCTACTCAGTTTAAAAGTCTAACCAAATGTAAAGACTACTGAACATGAAAATTCAACCCGAAAAAGGAAGTCTACGCAAACTAAAAGAGAAAGTGCACCCCAAAATAGGAAAAAATCCTCTTAAAACATAAATTGTATGTTAAAAATTTGCAATCATAATTTTGGCACCAATGGCACACCATAAAAATAAAAAGCAATAACAATAACAATTCAGTTTTCATTTATTAATTCTGTAATTTGTTTTATTTTAATTTTTGCGAATGTTACCTTCACGCCATTGGTGCTGTGTACATTAATATTGACAGGAGATCCGGAATTTGGACAAATCTTTTGCTAAAAAATAATGATAGAGACAGGCAAGAGAGTGTAAAATAGGTAGTTATTAACATTACATGTAATGAATGGCTTGAGGCATAGATGAAATCTGTCCAGCAACTTAGAATAGAGGATTTTCGATATAAAACTTTCAAGACAAATACCGGCTTTGTTTCTTTTTTTCCCAGCTCTCGAACGTCGGATGTCAATTTAAAAAGTGAAAACAACAAAAAAATATTTTAAAAAATCAAGAATATTTCTCGATTAATTAAAATATTTTTTTGTTGTTTTTACTTTTTGAATTGACGGTCAGCCAGAGCCCCTTCGGCATCATCAGCAGCTAGTTTTCCAGTAATTCCTTAATATATGTTGCTATAATCTGGTGATAGCACGTTGGTATGCTCAAAGACTGAGATCAGTAAAAGAAATGTAAAGTGTTTTTAAAAAATCATGCAACGGCAGAGCTCCGATTATTTAGCAATTAATGAATGAGACTTAGTAGGATATGAAGAATTAAGCAGATCGAGGAGGGTGTTATCCAGCAAGGCCGAAGGCCGAGGTGCATAACGCCCTCCGAGAACTGCTTAATTCTTCATATCCTACTAAGCCTCATTCATTAATTACTTTATTATTCATTCAAAATAATTCCTAATTTAAAAACATAGCTAAAACATGCTTACCTACATCGATTTCAAGTTCATCTTCGATAGTATACCTTTAGGTTTGTCCAGCTCCGCAAATATTCACCAAATAGCAGATATCGCCCTCCGAGTTGTCTTGTTGCTGTTTTTGCTATGGTTTTAGCTATTATTTTGCCTAGTTCCAGCTGTAGTTCAGCACCAATCAATGTCATGCCGGCGGGGGGGGACAGGGCATGGGTGGGGATTTGATTGTCCTTGTTGGCCCTGGGGTAGGGCATTTGATGGATCTTGCTCGCCTAGGGGAGGGGATATCTGAATCTTTCTTCGTCTGATGTGGAGATATTTGACTGCCGACTCGAACGAAAAAGACTGAGCCCGAACATATGTTTCCCGCTTCCACGCTTCACGTATGCGCCGTACGGTCTGGAAAGATCTGGAAATCATGGAGGCCAACGGGAACAAGCAAAAGCTGAGTGGATTTCACTGTTTTGTCTTCAAATTCCGTTTGTTTTAGCGTGTTTTTGATCAATTGAACCTCTTAAGATACTGTGGTATCAAAGTAAACGGAAGTAAAGAGATACCAAGTCGATTCTTGCAAGTACAATTGATCAGTGTATGGCTCATTCGCTACAATCACTGTATAAAGCTTGAAAACCTGACTTTCTTTGTACCCTTTACTAAGAATGGTATATTTAATTAAACTTACAAAATGTGGGCTTTCTCCTGAAAGGTTTCTGGGGAAATTTGGTTGCATCTGACTGGAATGATTTGCCCGTGGCAGGGAATTTGACGGCAAATTTTTGAAAAATGTCAAATCCAAACCCCATGCCCTGCCTCAACCCCCACCCCCGCTGGCTTTTCATTGATAGGTGCATTACTCTTGAAACGAGTTAACTGTCCGCCATTTTTTGTTTTCACAAACAAAACAACTCAACTTCGTCCCCAGGTCTTCTCGCTAACGGTGCCTTAACCTGTAGCGGGCAGCATTTTTGACGTCATTTTCTCGTTGAACACACAGTTCTTCCAAATTTGGGCATCAGTAACTGGTTATGGTGAATTATGCGTGTGCTTTTAGCCAATTAGAATTGGGGAAATATTTTTTTTGAACAATAAAACACGTTTTAGCATTAAACTGACGTAATAAATGATATGTATGTTAATATTTACAATTGAAGACCAGCCTTTTTTGCCCTGGTGCCTTCAATAAAAACCAAAAACAAAGCCCTTCAAAGGGTGACATTTTTCACGTTTTGTGAGTCATTATTGTCCGTTTTGATTCAGTCTTGGAGTTTCCAAAATTCCATTGTTTCCAAGAAGTTTGTTGCTCCAAAATGTATCAAAAAGGTTTGTCCCATTATCCTAACCCGTTAAACTTTGTGTGTAGAGAATACATGGCTTTAACTAGATAGTACCAATCCAGAGCACGGGCAAATAAACTAGATCCAACGCCATGAACGAATCTTTTACAAAATTTAGTAGAAACTTTAACGGATTTAGAGTTGTCTTTGGACAGGCATCTACGCAAAATTAAAGAAGCTAAAAATTTTGACGGAAATGTACTAACGGAGACAAAGCTTCCTTACTTGTTGAGAAGTTACTGTGGCTTGAGACGTAAAAACAGTGGATGCAACAGCGTAAATCAACAACAAGAAGTGACTCATCGTCAAGGAGAGCAGGGTTCTAAGGCTCGCGATTTGCTTGTTGTGCTGCGAGAAAACGTGAAGGAATGAAAGGTGCGCGAAGGTTAAAGCAAATATAAAAGAAATTTATACACAAATCACTAGCCCATTTCCGGCTTACATAAACCCTTACTTTAAAAATGAGGCCACGCACAATTAACCTGTCATTGGTAAATGACTTTTATTTGCGTGAAAGAGGTAGTCTAGGGAGGGAAAAGGGTACCGCTGGGCCCGCTTCGCTCGCCGATATTTTTCCTATTTGACCCCTCTTTATGCCTTTTTCCCCCACTGCGGAGCTTAGTTCCAGGCTATTAAAACAGAAGCTTGGGTTGAGATGACATTTTTTTCACATATTGATTTGACAGTATTCATAAGAATTTGCGAACCAGAGGTCCTTAACAACCGTAGAATGCAAGACTTTCACTAGATATAAATAAACTCTATAATTTCCGGTTGCAAAAATTCTTGATTGTCCTTCGTTTCGCATTTCATTAGGTCCCAGTTTTTACCCTGAACGTGTGACAATCCTTTCAAGATTTCTGATATATGAAAGTTCGGTTTGCAATCAGAGAGTAGTGTGCGTTCAATATTTACTAACTTCTGCTGAAACGGCCTATCTCTTTTCATCTGCCTTTAATTTGATCCATGAGTACATCGTAGTCTATAGACTTTGTCTCTTATTCTTAGTCAGTGTGATCAGGTCTCAGCTGAACAGTTTTATGACTTAATAATATACATGAAAAAATTTATCGATTGTGATTGGCTACGAGGAATGCAGTTTTTAGGTAACACAGTGCAGAAAAAAGGTAATTGAGTGCAGAAAAGAGTAACAAACGTGACATTCTGGTTGGCTAATAAACAAAGGAACTCACTGAGAGCCAATCAAATGCGCCATCTAAATGGCGCAAAATTTGGATCCGCTCCGGCCGGACCAGTTTCGAGCAAAAACCGCAGTGGTTGGCGATTGCAGCACATTTGCTTTTGCGACCGAAACAACTGTAGAGGAGCTGAAAAACTGCTCTAAAAACGAAAACACTGCGAAAAGCACTGGTTTTTGGCTCTCTTTTTGGAAGAATTGGTGCGTAGGTAAGGAAATTACTGATGAAATAGAAAATTATGACCCGGCTGAGCTTAACACTTTGCCCGAGCATTTCTACGCAGAAGTAAACAATACAAAAAAGATGAAGATTTATGAACCAGAAAGCCTTAAAGTAATGAAGGCATCGCTTGATAGACACTTAAAGAACAAAGGCTGCACCCTGTCCATTGTACGTGACCGAGAATTTAGTTCGTCCGAAGAGGTGTTGGAGGAAAAAGCGAAACAGCTTCGCTTAGCTTGCCGTGGTAAGCGCCCAAACAAAGGTCGGCAAGTATCAGAGGAGGAAGAAGAAATTCTCTGGAAGAGCGGAAAACTCGAGGTAATAACCCAGAATCTTTATTTCAAACACATTGAACAATTCCATGAACTGTTCAGCCCGTTTCTGCAGCTTGCGAACTTTAAAAACATCGAGCAAAATGTTGTTTTGACTGCACGTGTGATGATAATTGCAGCATTTGAATAATTTATTTTTGCACGTAGTTTACGCGGGTTGACTTCCTATTAAAGAAATTTTAAAGCTATCTCGCAATTTTTTCATGAATATTATTAATAAGTAATCACATAATTTTTCTCGTGCAATTTGGAATAAATAAGCACTCGTAAATTTTTTCAAAGACCACAAATTGCACTCACCCTACGGGCTCGTGCAATTTTGTTAGCCTTTGAAAAAATTTACTCGTGCTTATTTATTCCAAATTGCACTCGAAATCATGTGATTACCTATACTAAATAAACACAGCAACCCTTAGCCTGCGAACCGCAGACGTATTTCTGGTCGTCGCTTCTCTCCCTCCGAAAAATTTTTCTCGGCTGGTGAAACTAGACCCGAAAAAACCGGATGCTCTCGCAGGCTAAGCAACCCTCGGTCCTCTCCCACTGGGGTGAAAGATTCCCTGTCACCCATACCCCCATCTCCCTCAGTCGCGTAAAAGACAGTAGGATTATAAATAAGAAAATAAGGCTTAAGGTCCAAATAAATTAATACGTAACCAGCGATGAGCTTTGCGACTAATCTGTATGAACCATAACGATAACTGCTCAAACATGGAAAGAAGGAATGAATAACACAACAAATACAAAACTGATAAAAGGAGGAACGAATGCTCAAGACCCAAACCCAACTCAACCCACCACCACGGTGAAGAAATTAGCCTTCTTAATAGAAGTAGTGTGGTATTTTAGCTCCTTCAATAATTTGAATTACCATGCAGAAATAATTCAATGATCCTTAAAAAGAGAAAAATGAAATGGGCCAATGGTGTTTAACTGTGACAGACAAAGAGCCATTTAGTATTTATTGATTTGGTGCATAGATCCAATTTCTGTCCAGAACGCAGAAAAAACTTTTAAGAAGTTATTTTAGAAGAATAAATGGTCACGTGACCTCATTGTTAAAAGTTATTCTATAACGATAAATGGTAGTCATCCATCTGGACAGATTCTCAAGTGGAGCCGAACCAGACAATTACGTTGTTGTTTCAACATATACCTATCACAACTCATCTCGGCGGCCTATTTTCACTCAGTTTTCTCTTCGCGTAATTAAAACAAAACTGCTATAAGAGGTCACGTGACCAAAAAACTCCCGTTTTAAACAGAATAGTAACTTAAGGATGTCACTGTTTTATGTTATTACCAAGATTCATCAGGTTTAAGTAAATTATCTTAAGTTATGACTCTTCGCAGCTTTATGCACGTTAGGTTTTGGCTCATGCCTTACCATTTTAAATGATTTAAGCACTGAAGCAAACGTACCAACGGTATGACCAGCTCAACAAGCTTGAGCAAACAACAAACTTGAAGAAGATTGAAACCGATTGCAATTTTTTTATTGGAAACTTGTTAGCTCAACAGTTTTTCGTAGTTCACTTTTGTTGTTTGATGAGCGTTTGATATAATGCTTGGGCGGAGAGATATTTGTTTGACACGACACTGCGGCATTATTTACAAGATGAACTAGACAACTGTGATACAGCCCCTTCAAAGTGATATGATCTCAAACTGGAAACAACTGATTTCAGTTTAACTATCTGAGTGGCACCGACACTTCATGAGCCCAGCTTTCCAAAACCCTCTGACACTGCCATGATATTCCACTAACGGCTACCTCTACAACGGCCACCTTTCTACAACTGCCACTTTATTTTGTCCCTGCGGACAATCGAGGATACTCAATAGGTGTTCGCGATCTGGGATTTCCTTAACTGAAACTCGGGATTCGGGATTTTAAAGCAAAATCGGGGCGAGAATCGGGACGTGGGTTGCCAAATAACCCTCAGGATTACGGGATTGAAGAACCCTACTGGGGACCCTCACAGTCCTCATATTTACTCTTATTTAAACCTTTCCATAACTGCCACCTCTCCACACCTGTCCCCAAGGTGGCCATTGTGGAGAGGTTCGACTGTATGTTAGACTAAGTACTTGAATTATGCCGAAGTCTTCAATGACGTCATGACTCTTATAGCTCTTGATACTCCTCTAATTCCTAATATGCCAGGAAAAATTAGACACGCAAAACGAAGTTGAACGGCACTCGATACTGAATGTGACATCACATTTTTCCACTACGTTGGAACCGATGTCAGCGCTATCCATCTGTTACCTATGGAGTGGAGGTTTTTCAAAGAATCTTACAAGTGCAGATGCTCTGCAACAAAGGTGAAAGAACCCTTTTGTTGCGTTCTCAGTATGGATACAATCTTTTTTTTATAAGAACGTCCAATTTTTCGAGTTGAGCCCGGACCGTTCTTATTTTCTGGCCAGTTTGAGCCTGGAAATGTTCTTACGGATGTTCTTAAATTTCAGTAACGGAAATCTTATGACTTTAAAGGATCAGGCAAAGATTGTAGTTGTCACATTAATGAATTGTACTTGCTGAGTACAATATAAACGTCATTGACCATACACAATAAGAATGTGTTGAAAGAACAAAATTTTGCCTGCATTCTGATTTATGGCATTATGTAATTCATATTTTTTGGATTTAGGAAAGTAAAAGAAGTGAAAACGTAAATTTTTCCTCCGAGTCTCAGGTATGTTCTAAGTGTTCTTAATATTTTGACAAATTTCAGGCTGAACGGTCTTCTAACTGCAAAGGTTCTTATAAAAAAAATAGTGTATAAAAGTAACAACCATATTGTAATGGCAGTGTTGGAGAATATTCAGTTCAGTTCAGTTTATTTTCCCTCAATATTTTGACTAATGCTAGGTTACAGACTTCATAGATTGATGTTTGCAGGAAAATAGTGCTGTAGAATTAATATGAAAGTACGAGTATGATGGCCAAGTGAACCATTAGGTTTTCTACTTGGCCACCATAATACCAATTACGCCCTAAAATAAATACAGGCATAATCGGCTCCCGCCACAGGCGATGAACCAGAAACCGCAAAACTAAGGGCCTGTTCAACCTCGTTCCCAGGGTTCTCTCCTACCCGCGGGTAGGAGAGAACCCTGGGAACGAGGTTGGGGTCTGTTTACATATATCAAATTTAAAGTTCCTATCTAAATTGATAGAGAAAACAGTGTTTGTTTCACAGCACCGAGACTGCACTTCTCACTGTTACAAATGACGTTATGCTGCCATTGGATAAGGGCGAGAATGTTTTCCTTGTTTTATTGGATCTGTCGGCAGCATTTTGATATTTGACAAAAAAGCCAAATGCCTGACCAAGCGCGCCTCATTTTGGGTCAAATTTCCCTCTGTACGAAGCAACACTCCAGTCAAATGCCCGGGCGGGGGGCATGGGCAGTTTTAAAATTGACTGTTACATTATCTACACGAGGCCTCGCTTACAAAAACAGCTAAAAACGTTACAAACTGCACTCATTGCCAGGATACATTCATCGGGCGGGTGGCAGGGCAAGAGAGAGTTGCATAGGTTTTACATAGGTCAAATTAGAACAGTCAATGTTTTAGATTTTGTCAGTAATCGTTGTATATTGTGCAAAATGACAGTAGGGAGTTTAAGCAGCGACGTTTTTGAGCTACGCCCGTCAAAAAGAAGTGGAATGTTCGCACTCTTGAGTCGCGATTTTGAACAAATATCTGTGCAAATCGTCTTTTAAAGAGTAAGAACACTTCGCAATACAAATTTGGTCGCGTCAAGGCATATTAAAAGAGAAAAAGGCTCACTGATGGTCGACGTGCGAAGCTGCTTAAACTCCCTATTAGTTTGAATATTGAAATTATGCTGCTGTCTTTTTTCTTGGACAAGCTTTCAAGCTCTAGTTCCCCTATACCCAAGGAAAGGTGTAATATAGATTGAAATGTCGGATTATACTATACCTCAACTTGGATATAGGGAACTATCAGCTTTGAAAAATTCTATAGAATAAACATATCAAGGAACATATGGAACATGTGCTAAATGAACCATATCTGGAAAATGGAAAAGTCAAATAGGGAGAGAGAAGTCTAGCCTGCGAACACAGATGAATTTGCGGTCGTCAGTTCTATTCATTCATTTTTGTTCATATCACAATCACAAAAACAGCGTCATCCAGTAAGGATTTACAGCTGTGTATTTCTCTCTCTCTCTCTCTCTCTGCCGCGCGCGGATATAAAAGCTACTGCTGGCAATCTTTCTTATTCTTTGAAAAGCGATCAGATCAGGGAGGCATCGTGGCCGAGCGGGTTAGAGCGCTGGACTTGCGATTCGGAAGCCCCGAGTTAAAGTTCCGCTCTGACCGCTAGCTCGATTTGTTCTCGGTAGTCCCGAGTTCAAATCCTCGGTTAGTCTTGTGAATAACCAATAAGTTTGCCTCTAGCCAGTTGGGATTCTTAACCCCATTATGTGTGATTTAAATCACTTGTTACAGGAATTTTCTCAGCCCCAGTAGCATAAGTGCTATAAATACTGCCGAGGGTAAATAACGGAAATTCATTATTTTTTGGCAGTAGTAAGTTAAGTAAAACGGTACAAAGTCAAATTCACATTCTCGCCAGCCACGGTATGGAAAGGTCATAAAAACAATTTAAAGATCCACGTAATGAAGTGGTGTCCTAACAGCATTGCAAACATCACGTGTTCGATGACGATAGAAAAACGTTTATTAGACTCATCACAAAAGCAAAACCCTTTAGTGAGAAAGAGTTATCATCTAATGGTTTGACGCAGCCCTAGCAATACCGCAGTGGCGTTGCAAAATATTTTTGAAGAATGGGAGAAGGGGGCGAGTTCTTTATTACCCTGATATGGGGGCACGCAGTTGAATGATTTCTGCTTTAAAAGTGCCGAAGAACACCTCAATTGCTCATTGGTGAGCCTGTGGTAGAAAAGCTTTTGTCTCTTATGAGGCTCTACGATCCTAAGCCTCTCAACTGACGAGGGAAATTTGACGATTCTTTTGAAGAGAAATGGAAAAAAAATAAATGGCGATCATGGTCTAAGAGCTGTGATTTGCAGCGGAAACGAACAATTATGCATTACATTTAAGCTTACCATAACATTGTCAAAGCAAAAGGCCAAATATTGATCAGTGAAGTTCTTTCTCTACAGAAACATATATTGTCAACACAAGCTCGACTGAATTTCTGTTCGTAGCTGTTATTGGCATTATAGCATTTTTAAATCCAAGAAGAAAGAGCCGATTCATCTTAGCTTCATCTTGCTGAGTTTTCGTTATTCTGTTTTTCCTCTCTGAATGAAAATGCCGACATGTCAGGGGTGAACTCGGCATCTGTGTCGTCCGAGTCCCCTGTTGTTGTAATTTCTACTTGTATCAGACCACTAACGAGAGCATAAACAGTCATTGATATGAAAGCAAATCCAATTGCAAGCAATGTGTTACGACGCTCACTGCTATCTGCACTATCAGCTTGGCTGCTGGGTGAAGACTGAGAAGATCTCTGTTGCTCTTGATCTAAAAATCAATAAAAGTATATCTACTTATTCTATTCACTATGTATCTGTCAGGGGCACCCAACGTCAATTTTTGGAAAATATCTGTTCGGAAAACGATTTTAGAAGGATTTTCGATCATCTAAGAAATGGTACAATTGACCATTTTCAACGGATTTTTGCCCTAAAAAGGTCACCTGGAATTTTCGGGAGCCTTTTTTCTGGCTGAAATTTTCGAAAAGGTAAGTTTTGATCTCTATGATTTTCGGATCACTAGACTTTCAGCTAGGAAATCCAAACAGATGACAAATATTTAGGCGATAAAAATATGCCTATATTTACCGTTTAAATACTAAAATACGTTCAATAATGCTATGTTTAAGTGGTTTTGAACTATATTCTCGTTGGGTGCCCCTGATCTGTCTTTGCATTAGCTAAGAGGTACGGTTAATTTTGGAAATCAGGGCAACCTAAAGATGAGTTGGTTACTATCGGTAAGCAGATAGCTGCATGTAGGTTGAGCGCGCGATGGATGATTTCTGTGTTCCGGGCGACGCTGTGTTTATCGTTATTATTTTTTTTTTTCAAAACAATGTAAAAATAAAATAAACTAATAAAAATTAGATTATTAGACAACGCTTTTTGAGATATCCGGAATAACTGAGGTCTAGGTAAGTGTAACACTTACCTCGACCTTGATTATTCCAGCAAAACCCCTGAACCCAGTTGTTCAAAGGCCAGTTAATTTAAACCCGGTGTTAACTTAGTTCTAGTTCGGGTTCCTGATTCTTTTGTTAAAACATCTTCTCGGTTCATTTGACTCGTCATTTTAGAGCGTGCGAACATTAAATGTCAGGCAAAAAGAACTTACAGGAATTTTCTCGCTGTGGGTTCACATGTGAACTCAACTTTCGCACTAATCCTGGCGGGTTATCTTAATTATGCTTTTTAACGACCAATGCAGCTCCAGAATCAGAAAGGACTCGTTAAAAACTAAACATGCTTCATTAAACTTATATTTAAACACTCTCTGTCTTGAATATCAATTTACAAGCTAAGTAAGAACATGATAGCGGGGGATAAGAGTATTTTAAAAGTAGTGCAAACAGTCTTTAATTTCTAACCTTCTATCTCTGGTTGTAAATAGCGCTGTAATATTCGGCCACAAAACATGGTCAAGTTATCATATCCTTGTAAGTAATTATGCAGTTTATTGTTCGGTAAAGGTGCTTTCCAAATCACTGCTAGGTGAGCAAAAACAACAGCATCAAGAGTGGTAGGACTGTCAAAACAACATAAAGAAACAAAAAATGGATTTAAGACACCATTTTTCCCCTAATTGTGAGATTAGCTCATATACCCAGAAACCAAACTAGAACTGCATCAACGTTTTCTACTCAAAAAGGTTTCTATAGCACAAAAGGACTTTCTGATGGGTTTATGCTACCAAAAGTGGTCAAAACAGTAAATTAGTTCTACATAACATCTCTCCAGCAAGACAAATACAGTAAACACCCGCTAATAAGAACCTACATTTTTGTTAGGTCTGGCAAAAAGGTTCTTTCATTTTAGGTTAAGTAGGTTCTTAATTAGGTCCTTAATTTCTGTGAAGGAGATACAGTAGTTGACTGTCAAGAAAATAAAGAAATTTGAGTATGGTCCTTAAATATACAGTATCATTCATTCAAAATGTTTCCCCAATTCTGATTGGCTAAAAGCTCATGCATAATTCACCATAACCAGTTACTGACGACCAAATTTGGAAGAATGTTGTGTTTAACAAGGAAATGACGTCAAAAATGCAGCCCGCTACAGGTTAAGGCACCGTTACCGAGAGGACCTAGGGGCGAGGTTGAGTTGTTTTGGTTGTGAAAAAAAAAATGGCGGACATTTCACTTGTTTCAACAGTAAGAACTACAGCTGGAACTAGATGAAATAATAGCAAAAAACATGGCAAAAACAGCAAGAAGACAACTCGTAGGGCAACATCTGCTATTTGGAGAATATTTGCACGGCTGGACAAACCTAAACGTACACTATCAAAGATGAACTTAACATCGATGCAGGTAAGCATGTTTTAGGTATGTTTTTAAACTAGGACTTATTTTGAATGAATAATAAAGCAATTAATGAATTCGGCTTTCATACCATATGAAGAATTAAGCAGATCTCAGAGGGTGTTATCCACCTCGGCCGATAACACCCTCCTCGATCTGCTTAATTCTTCATATCCTACTCAGCCTCATTCATTAATTGCTAAGTATTTATTCACAACTGTACATTGTAAACCTCCTTTATGCAAGGTCCATGAAGACAATTACAATCTGAACTTTTTATAAACCTTTTTTTTTTGTAGCAATTACAGTAATACTTTGTAACTATTAACTATTTGTAACTATTTGTAATTACAGTTAGGTGCAGTATCTTCTTGTAATATCAATTGGCAATCTCAAAGTCAAACCCCTTGATTAAAATGTTTATCTTAATTTACCTGTAGCCCACCTATAAGAACCTCTTTGATTTTGCTTGGCTGAACAGGTTCTTATATTTTTGGGTATTAAAGTGGCAAATTTCTGCCAGCAGGTTCTTATTAGCAGGTGTTTACTGTATTAAGGAAATGAAGAGTTATAATGTCATGTACGTAAAGTTTTAATATGACTTCTCACAGTTGTGGCCTATGAAGATCTTTTCGAGATTTTAAAATGAATTGGAAGAAAAAGGTTACCTGTCTCCAAAGAAAAATTCCTTGTCACCAAGAACAATAGAAAGAAGATTTAAACACTCCTGAGCTTCCTTATAAAGCTGAAATAAGAGAATTTAAATAAAAGCTTTCATAGAAACTGGAGTATGACTTAGCAGAATAAGTAATGTGTATTTCCATAAGTTATCCATACCTCCCCCACGAAAGGAATTTATCCTAAGACCCCCCACCCCTCTGCAAATTCCAATTAAGTTTTGTAATTTCCTAACAGTTTTTGGCCTTTGAGAACCCTCCCACATCCAGGAATTTCCTATCCCTTCTGTGGGGGGAGTATGGACATTTTCTGGAACCACACAATTTAAGTTTGTAACTAGGTTTTAATGAAAGTTAGTACAGAATATAGAAGAAATCATTAACTTAAAGAAGAGACACTGATTTCACACATACATAAACATTTCTAAATTAAATCATCATGCCACAAGGTCAAACCTTGCTCTCAAGAAGATCATCTGTTTCTTCTGAATCAACTCCTTCACAGACTTGCTGTCTTGTTTGTCTTGAGATTTTCCCAGGCACAAAGTAATTCAGCGGAAATGGAAGCCTCTTTGCGTACCACGGACGTGTAAATTTTGTGTAATTGCTGTTGTCCACCCAAAAGGTATACAACTGCAAATTTTAACAAAAAACAGAAAAATACTCAGTTACGACGAAACCTGTACATTAAGTGGACCCCGCAGCAAGAATAAGCTGAATGTACCCTTAGTTACTTTATAACCACTGAAGATTCCAAGTATCATGAGTGACTGCAACTCAAATTTTTCAAACATATTTTTCACTGTCATTCTTGTGCTTTATAAATTATTTATTTTTTTGTGTCATTGTTTTTTTTTTCTGAGTAATTTACACCTACTTCAAGCCCTAGGATTTCAAATCCTAAGGATAACAATTTTTCGGTTCTGTGGCCAGAGATCATGGGAAACTATCAGTAATAATTTTTTGGTTCCATGAAAATTTATGGGAACCCACTTTTATTTCTTTTAATGTACAGAAACAGTTTTCTGGAAACATGTTGTTAAACATACTTCAAAATTAAAGAACATCGGTGTGTACTATTATTTACAAAAAACTCCAATGTCTGTTATTAAAATGTAAGAAGAAGGTCAATTAACTGTTAAATGTGTGTGCACCAAAGTGTCTAAAACTCAAGACTCCTCTTCAATCCAACTAAATGAGTAAGTAATACTCACCTGAAACGTTCACTACAGATCTTGTCTTTTCATATAGAGATTTGGACCTCATCATCAGTTTCAAAGTGAAATTGTCACTAAAAGACTACATTCTAATAATTGTTTTTAAACTTTTGGAGTCGTATGTTTTTTTTTCTTGATACTGGAAGCCAAAACAGTCGCTGCTGTTAACTGTAAAGGTGATGTTACATGAGACGATTTGCAACAACGATTTTTACCAAGCGCAACACGGCACTGCAACATTGTAGTGATGTCGTTTCGAATTGTTACAACATTGTTCCAACATTGCAACCCTGTGTTGCGCTAAAAATCATTCTTGCCAATCGTCCCTTGTAACATCACCTTCTAACATCTTTCATGTGCGAGTCATCAGTAACATGCAATGCACTTTGGGAATGATTCAAGATGGTGGACGATACATAAACGGTACCTTTTTTTTTTTAAATTTCGCTTATACACAAGCTGAGTCATAAAGAATTGCTGTACTAGTTAAGAATCCGAGTGGAAAGATACTACATTGGTGTATTTTGATCCCTCAGTCTGAATATATCAGGACATGTCACTGGGAAACTATTTTGCAGTTCTGTGATTTTAAGATCACAGTAACGACACGGTACCAGAAATGATCGTTACTGTGAAATCCTAGGGCTTGTACTTGCACTACCTTGTCATAAAAAAAGCAAAAACTCAGAAAACTATTACAGTAGTGTGGTATAACACTACAATTTGACATCCAAAGAGTAGGAAGAAGGTAAATTAGCCATAGGGTAACATTATCATTGTATATGAAACCATATATCAAGGTTATTTTACCTAGATAAAAACCCCTAAGCACAGTACCTAACTATTAATTTTTAATCATAATGAACTCACTATTGCTGGATTCAGTTTTCTGTGCACCAAGGAAACAAATGCAAGGGTGTCTGCTCCTTGTTTGGCCGTCAGATAGTAATCAGCATTGAAATTCTAACAAACAACCACAAAATATTATGCCTTGAATTAGCAGTTAGAACATCCAAACTAGAACTTGGAGGTTTGTGAGTTTGATTCCCACCTGGAGTTCGGAAGTTTTTTTTAGCTTTCTGGTGATAGATTTCTCCTTCTTCTAAATCAACCTTTTCGCCCCTGTCTTTCCCCCTGCAGATCCAAGTCCCTTCTATTGCTTGTGACATAATCAGTTTTAATAGTCAAGGACAACTTTATCATCCAACTTGTGCAAGGGTAAGAGATCTTTAAAACCATGCTAGAATGAGCACAATTCAGTCAAGGAGACCAGAGAAAAGGCAAAAAGCCACGCAACACTGACAACCCACCTACACTTTCTTTCATCTAATCCTAAAAGCTTTCCCCAAAACCCTGCCACCAAAATGAAGCCTAGTAAATGCCTAGCAAAAGGAAAAGGGAAAGAAGAACGGAGGAGAGAAAGCAAAGAGTCCATTTTAAAACCAAACAATATCTCAAAATTTTGCTTTCTGTACAAGTCCAAACTTTGGAATGGAAAGTTTGCACATTTGAACAGAAGGCCACAAAGTGCTCAATTTATAAAATAATGGTGTTAGATTGTCAGGTTTGGCTCACTTGAGCCAGATGGTGACCAGAAAACGAATTCCAAGGAGCGAATGGGTTAAGAACCAGACTTGTTATAATTCCTTCCTATTTGAGAAGGGACAAAATACCTTTTCTCTAAAATAATCCATAATTTTGCTTGAAGTAGTCAGAACATCTTCACCTGACACTAGAACAGGGAATTTTCCTTTGGGAATAAAAAAGAGTCAATGTTAGTATCATCGACAGCAAGTACTTCTTCATATAATCAGGCCCGTAACCAGGGGGTGCACGGGGTGCGTTCGCACCCCCTCCCCCCACAACAGGCCCCAAAGGTCCGCATTTTGATACTCAATATCCAAGTTAAGGAGTGCAGTCAGTTAAACTGAAGTTTCAAACTTAACAGTGATATTTAAACAAAATCAAAGAATGGAAAACGCAGTAGTGTATTCACTGGGAAAATACAACCAGCTGCACTCTAGTAGCCCGAGCAATTCAGAACATTTCAACGTGTGCACAGATGTCCAAGCTTATCTAAATGAATAATGATATTAACATGCGCACGCTTTGCTCGGGAGTTTACGACGAGCAAGCCAATGACAAGGGAGCGATCTCATGATTTTTGTCAGACATCGGGTAGTATTCTCTATTTGTACAAGCGCATGAATGCCCGAAGATGCAAACTTAGTTTTTTGTGTACTACGTTATGGGTAGGAGAGAACAGGAAAATGGAAAGAGGAAGGCTGCAGCTAAATCTTGCCAGTCTCTCGATACATTGGTCAGTAAAGTACCCCGTCAAGAGCCATCAGACGCTGACAATGACAGTGCAGTCTGCGATCACAGCCCAGCTGAAACCACCACTTCAGATCTATCTCAGTTAACTACAGTTTTACAGCGATATATAGAAGGTAAATCATACTTATTTTCGCAAATTATGTCCACCAGCCTTGATTGCATTATTATGCTCTGAGATTTAGTCGCTATTCCTGGACATGAAACAAACTCGCTTACTAAAAAGCCAGTGAGGGAACACAGAGTAACAATTCGGAGAGGGACTGGGAGGGTTAATCTAAAGTAGCAATCCACAGGCATCCCAAACCATCAAAATAGAAGTTTTCAAGACACAAAGAGGGAAAATACATTTAATGTTTTTCTTGGTCTCTTATCATCATTTCCTGATGTCATGACAATATTCTATGAAAAGCCGATGTGTACTTTCTTATTGCTACTTTCCTACATAAACAGATCAGACAATAAAAAATACATTTCGGTAGTTTGGTCCACTTTGGTATTGTTAGCACCCCCCACATAAAATCCTGGTTACAGGCCTGATGGCTAAAATTGCATCCGTACACTACTGACCCATTTACGTAATTAAAATAGAATGTTGTAATTATTACCAAATTCTTTTTTTTGGTCCAGGGTCCCAACCTTTACAACAACACCTCACTTTGAACCTGAATAGACCCCTCCACAATTGTGTGGGCATGCTGGGTAATCAGGACAAGATGGAGGGCAAGTCAAAAGTTTCTATGGGAATTCAAAGTCAACTAATTCTTCCTAATTGAATATATATTTGTTACTTTCTCTTCACAAACTTTAACTAATAAACTAATAGAAACTATACACTAAATGTGGAGAGCACAGCTGTCCCTTGTCGCTTTTTAGAAAATCTGACTTCTACCATAAATTATGTGTAATAGACCTTGTCAAGGTTTTTGATGCCATCTTGACAAGTAGGCAAACGCGTGAGAAATTACAGCATTTGTATGGGAATCTAATGTCAAATAATTTCCGTAGAACGGCTGTTCTGGAAAAAATATGAACTTTAAACTAAAGGTTCACTCCTATTGGACATTAGATTCTCATACAAACACTGTAATTTCTCACACGTTTGGCTACTCGTCAAGATGGCATTGAAAACCATGACAAGGTCTATTTTTGTGTTTTCTAAAAAGCAACAAAGTACTGCTGTGCACTCCAGATTTACTGTGTAGTTTCTTTAAGTTCATTAGTTACATTTTTCAAAGGGAAAGTGACAAATATATCCAATTATCAAGAATTAGTTGACTTCGTATTCCCATACAAAGTTTTGAATTTCCCACCATCTTGTCCTGATTTAATACCCATCATGCCGTTACAACCGTGAAGGGGTCCATCTGAGAGGCTTCATAATCAAGTATTGGGCAAGCATTTTCATTAAACTCTCGAAAAGTAAAATAACAGTGAAGAAAAGTGCAAAAATCAATTTTAAACAGTCCTCACACAACCTGTTTACATTATTTTTCAAAAGATAGACAGAAGGCCAGACGCAGTGTTCCAGAGCTCTTCATAAAACTCCCACACAGTTAAAACAGTAAGATATCTTCTTATACGTTCACCTTGACCTAAGGATATTTTCCCCATGGGTAAAAAAGGATATTTACTATGCCGAAATGTAGAAAACCATTCTAAAAGTAAGCTTACCAACTGGAGATTTCCAAGGGTTGTTGGAACGATTCACTTTAAGAGGGCACCCAGCAAATTTAGCATAAACCTAAAAAGCAAAATAAAGACCTTCAAAAATAGTTTGAATCTGGACTGAAAGGAGAAGAAAACGTACGAACCAAAACCTCCAAACATGATATGTCAATAGAGGGAAGATTCCAGTCACCAGACCAAGATTGTACCTCCATGACGCCCGCCATTTTGAATTTGATTCATTCGACCCATTTGAAGAGACTCCCGACATTTGTTGAGGACTGGGTTAAGAAACTTAGAAATTTGTGTAGCCCGTGGCAGGGCGGTTTGAGGTTCCGGGAGGAGGACTTAGCAGCCTGTGTAGCCCGTGAACAGATACGACAGCGAACAGATACGACAGCGACTATACCATACATCAGAGTTAACATCAGAGGCTCATGAAAAGTTCGGCGTCTAAACCGGGCCTTCCTACGTAGGAGTTCTTAGGGACTGGTCATAAAAGGGGTGGGTGGGGCGGTGGGCTGAAAAAATAAGGGGATGGGATCACAGGTTGCCCAAGCTCGAAATATGAGCATCGGGGAGCATCGGCATTGTTGCGTAACATTTAAAATATGAGGATTTGTATGGGGAAAAACACCTATCGTTTCTGTAACCTACGAAAATGAAAGGATTTCAATAAAAAACAGCTTACCTTACTTAAAATGTATGTTACATCTCTTCTGTGTGGTCCACGGGCCGATTTATGGCCGTCTTATGTCAGTTTTATGGGTTCATGTAAACGGGCATAAATCGGCCCGTGGACCACACAGGAGAGATGTAACACACATTTTAAGTAAGGTAAACTGTTTTTTATTGAAATCCTTTCATTTTCGTTGGTTACAGAAACGATAGGTTTTTTCTCCCATACAAATTTTTATATTTTGAACGTTACCCAACAATGCCGATGCTCGCCGATGCTCATATTTCGAGCTTGGGCTACCTGTGATGGGATAGGCATCGTTTAAGGAATGATTTAATTCTTTTTTGCACGCGTTTCTGCATCAAAGTCTTCCACCAGTTGAGCCAGATGTGCTAAAGACAACCGACGAAGGTCCACTGAGGTGTCCGGAATTATCAAACACTGAAGTTAAGTTTAGCGATGACGAAATGGCAAGATTTCTCAACTTCGATCCTCTAAACAGAGTCCACAGGGTGTGGAATGTCATTAGGAAAAACGAGTCAGTAAGATCTAGATGAAGAGACAAGAGAACCTGGCGTGTAGCCAAAGATGTCACTGATAGGATACAGGATGAGTCTGGTCCAGCCCGGGGGGTTACTCCCGCGAATTTTGGATAGGGGTGTGCCGCGAAGGTTCGTGAACCCTAACCCTATTTAAGAACTATAAGAAAGCGAAAACTGATAACTTTTTAAGGCCCAAAGCCGAAAAATGACAAGCTATTCAAGGAAAAAACAAAATTATTAATAGCATGAAAAGGAAGACTTTATTTCTTCTCTGCAACATTGGATGTATAGCATCAAGCATAAAATACTAGAATAAGCATAGTTTAATAATATGCAATCATAACCGATGGCCGTTTTCACACTCCAGTATTAGATAACACAATTAAGCTACCCTATCTAAGGACCACACCAGGGACACAGAAACAAAAGGGTAAAAAAGATACCCTATTTAAGGACCGAGAACCTCAAAAACCATACCCTATTCCGTGGCACCTACCTATATAGCCCATATATGGGAGTACCCCCCCCCCCCCGGGGGTCCAGCCGGAGACTAAATGAAGGCTTTTATGACACCAAGAGAAAACGAGCAGTTTTCTTCAATACCCAGCTTCAATACTTATCAACTCATCGATCAAGGAGTTTACATCAGGAGCTGAATCACAACAGATGTTCTAGGTCATGCATACTTCCAGAAAATTGAAACATTTCAAGGCTTTTTTAGTTTAAAGCAGCAAGTAAAGTTGATGAACTCTACCGAGGGTTCCTAAAAGGTGCTTTTAACCGACCAGTGGAAAGCTGTGACTCCTTCACTAAATATCCACCTTTCCGGGAAACATTAAAGCGGGTACCAAGGCAAAGCCTGAGCTAACAGTCCTACCATAGCTTAAGTACTTATCTTATCAAAAAAACACCAAACACGATAACAAATGGACACCAAAGGCCCGTGGATGATTTCTAACCAAGAGCCCAAATAAAGAAGTACGTGGAAGAGGGAAAACTAACTCTGGCAGACAGTGAATCGGTTAAGTCATTTTCTAAAGCTTTTGCAGTGGAGAAGGACCCTATACGAAACTATATTGAGCATTAATAGTATCTTAAGGTGAAGAAACTGTAACGCATAGATGATCATGACAGGAAAAGGAAAAAAGAAGCTGAATCTCAATTGATGACATACCACGACTATGACTGGAAAGACATGTTCAAAAATGGGACACTGAAGACACACCAAATGTTTTATTTGCATGACCATAAAGGAATTACAGTATTGCAAAAGCTATTAGTCTAAATTTAAGTACTAATTCAACTAATTAGTACGTGCAAAACATTACAAAACGTTACAGTTCTCATTCATTCATTCATTGATCTTAATTTGGTTCTTAATTCAAAGCATTGCGAGATAAATGAAACTAATTGACAGTTAATTAAATAATCAGAAGAGTTTATAAGGAGAGATATTAAAGTATCGTGTGAAAGTGATTTGAAATCAGGTATTTTAGTTTCTAGTTTGGAGAAAAATATGTCTCTGATCTGATAATAAGCCTTGCAATCTAGTAACAAATGATTTTCATCTTCGATTTTGTTACTTGTACAAAAGTGACATATCCTTTCATTGCGAGGAATGTTTTCGTATCTACCTGTTTCAATTCTAAGTTGATGACTACTTATTCTAAATCTAACTAATGCTTTTCCCGAAGGGTTTTTTCTTGTTAAAACTAGGTACGACGAGGGGCTATAGTCGTCTTTGATTGAACAATAAAAACTGAGTTTTTGTGATTGTTGAAGGGTCTGATTCCAGTAAGAGACGTATTTATTTTTCATTATGCCGATATACCTATTAACTATTGAGTCACTCAATGAATTACAGGAAAAGTCATAGTTTAGATCATAGTAGTCAACCATTTTCATGAGATTAGAGTAAAAGCTAGTTTTTCCGTTATGATGAAGGTCAATTGAAATTTGTAAGGCCTGTTTAACTATAGAATCTTCATCTTTACCTCTCAGATAGTCTAAGTAATTTAGAATCTTTTATTTATATCAATGATCATGGGAAATTTACCGAGTTCAGCTCTACAAGCAATGTTCGATGCCTTGTTATGTACTTGTAAATAACGTTTACAGAATTGCAAATGGCTTTTTTCAATTGCAGAACTGTCCCAGGACTTAAAATCTGATTTAACAAAAGCACCCCAAACTTCACTGTTGTAAGTTAGAATTGATGAAATCATCGAGTCAAAAATTTTACACGCGAGAGAGGGCTTAAGACTATTCAAATCCGTATGCCGCCTGAGGCTGAAGAGCGCGTGAAGAGCTTTTTGTCGGAGATGTTCAAGCGAAAGTGTAAAATTTCCGGAAGATGTAATGCGAGTTCCTAAGTAAGTATAGTTTTGGACAACGTCGATTACTTCATTGCCTATGCGGAAGTTATGTTCACATTTTCGTGTGTATCGTTGAAAAATCATTATTTTGGTTTTCTTAGGATTTATTCTAAGCATCCATGAGTTGCAATATGAAGATAGTACGTTAAGGCAGTTTTGTAAACCAAGTTTGGATCGCGATAATATTATCAAGTCATCTGCGTAAAGGAGAGAGTTGAGTCTGGTGCCATTTGGTAACACGAAGGGGTCTGATAAAACATTGTCAAATGAGAACGCTAGATCGTTAAGGTATAAGTTAAAGAGCAGAGGGCTTAAAATGCAGCCTTGCCGCACTCCTCTTGCGTATTGAAAAGATCGCGTTTTGTTATTTCCAATCCTGACAGAGCAGGTAGACTTCGAGGATAGACTCTTAATTAGACTGTAAAACTTTCCTTCGACATTGATCTTAGATAACTTATAGAGAAGCCCATCATGCCAAACCGAATGAAAGGAAGAAAACAGGGTAAGTCTTGCATCTCTTTAGAAAAACACAAACTGCGAACAAATCGAAAAATTAAGAAAGGCGAGGCGTAATTTTGCTTCGTTTGCCAAAGCCCAAATCGAAAAAATGGAGAACGATACGACAACGATGATTAAAAGTGGACGATGAGATAGACAAAGAGGAGGTGGAGGTCAGGAGGAAGTAGAAGAAGATGGAGAAGGGCCAAGCATGACAATGCTTAACGACTGGGGGTACTCCTGGGATTTTTTGGTGGGGTCGCCAGCTGCCAGGTTCTCCACTTCCTGGCCCTATTTCAAACCAAAACTCTATTATTTATTTCCCACACCCGTTTTCATACCTGGTCTCTAAAATTCATAACCATTTTCAGAAATTATGTGACCAGTTTAGAACGCCAACCAAACGATTTCTTAAAATCCAATTAATATTCGCATATTACTCTTTCTTTCTCATTCATTTGGAACTATATATCTATATATCTGATTCCAGACCAGAATAGGCAAAGGTTATACCCGTTTTCAGACCAAAACGGCCCAAAACATACCCTTTGGGGCAGCACAAACCTATATAGCCTATATAAGGTAGCGGTACCCTGGGAGTGAAAATGACAACTCTGATGTAGTTCTGCAAGAAATTTGCTATTCCAGTGATGAGGATAAGCAGAAAGACGAGGAAGCAGATCAGAGAGGGGGGCAGAACACCTTAAAACAAGAGCCGCAAGACATGGAACAACTTACCTATTGGGGCAATTTTTTTGGATACTACGACAACCTACTTCTCATAATGAGGTGTGTTGTTCATATCATTCCCAATTACTTAAATTCTCACATTATAAAATAACGAGGTGCATGTTTCTATCATACTTGTCCTGTACTCTCACAAAACTTAATATTCTACGCGTTCCTTCTGGGTGGGAGGCTGGGATCAGAGATGCTAAGCGGCAGCCCTAAAATAAGGAATCGGAATCCTGAAATAAAAACGGAATCAAAATTCGTCATAAAAAAAGATACCATAAATTTATCTCTTAAATTAGGAGTCCTGTTCAAGGAAAATGATTTGTCTCTGCAATTCTTAACATGAGTTTCTGGCAGGCCTCTCATGCCTTACTTCTCTCTCGCATTTATTTCGTCATCCGACAATGTTTAACTA